ACAGAGTTCTGAACTTGCTGGATGCTCCAAAATCTTACTACTGGCCTCTTTTATTTAAGGTGTTCACCATCCAGTCATTTAAGAGATTGGGGCTAGGCCAAGACCCTAATTTGTTTCATTTTTGATCCATGGTTGGTTGTATCCTTGGATGTAGATTCCACAGAGGCATGAGATGACTGCATTTTATCAATGAAGTTAATCTATAATCAGCTTCTTTAAATAAAGATTATTCTCAGCGAGGTACAGTGATGCACATGTCATCCCAGCACATGGGAGCCTAAGGCAGGAGGATCTTAAGCTCCAGTCCAGCAATTCAGTGGCTTAGTGAGATTGACTCAAAATAGAAAACAAAATAAAATAAGAAAGGCTAGGTAGGTACTGATTGTCCCAGAAATATGAGTAGATACCATCTGTCCAACCACCAGAAAGGCTATAAGAACAAATATGAGGAGCCAATTCCTAGAAATAAACCCCTCTCTGGTTCTATTTCTCATATATATTCCTCTGATATCTCTGATATATATACACACACACGGATATATACAGCTTTTATCTTGTTGGCAGATCCCTGATATAATCTGCTATGCCCTACTGCTCTGCCTGATACCAGTCACAGGAAAATCCCCTGAATTATCCCCAGAGGTCAGACCTGCTTGCCTTCCCTCCTTTCCTCTTATTTCTGAAGGGCCTTTCCCAGGAGACTGGAAGACCTGTTTCCTGAGGTCACTGTTTCTCCTGACCTGTCCAGCTCATCACATATCTGCTCTAACTAGGAAGCCTTGCTTCCGCAATCATAACTGCACTGCCAGTGTCACTCTCCAACTCAGCCACAGGAAGCCACCTTCGCATAATTCATCTACCATATTCCTGCCTTTCTCTTCAAGGGCCCATTTCTATGTATTACCTGTTTGGCAGACTGATGAGGTCTCTGAATGTCCATTCCTATTTTTTTCTATGGTAATTGGACAGATATAACTTTCCAAAAGACTAAATTTCTCAGCCTCTTTTTCCACTATGTGGTCATATGACTTGGCTGTAACCAGTGGGATATGAGCAGAAGTAATGTGTGTTAAGTTGTACAATAAAAGTGGGGTATGCCCCTCTCTTCCAGATGGCCAAAATACAGCCATGGTGATGGGCAATATTGTATTTTATGGGTTGTGACATTATCCTAATAGGAGTGAAGCAGGAAGACAAATACAACTGAACTCCTACACTGCCACTCAGACTTCCATCTGGTTAATGATGTTTGGGGTTTTTTGGCTCATTTTTTAATCTCTGCAGCAACAAACATCTACATTCCAGGGCCAGGGATGTAGCTTAATGGCACAGCGCCTGCCTGGCAAGTGTGAGGTCCTGAGTTTGATTCCCAGTACCTAAAAAAATAAAATCTTACCTACTAACCAAAATACCACCATACCTGCCAATATAATAACCAGCTTTCCTCAACCTACCTATTGAACCACTGATTTTCTTGGGCTACTGCTCCTGCTTCCTATCTCTACAGTTCACTCTTCTTCAAGATCTCTCCTTGAATCTCGTTTCCTCTCTCTACTTTCTCCCTTGGAAATCTCATTCATTCCCGTAGAAAATGACTTTACAATCTTTTTTCCCCCTAAGACAGGGTCTCACTATGTAGTCCAGGCTGGCCTTGAACTCGTTTATATAGTCCAGGCTGGACTTGAACTCACAGTAAGCCTCCTACCTCTGTCTCCCTAGTGCTGGGATTATAGGCATGAGCCACACCTGGATGACTTTACAATCTTATAATCTCATCTCTAAAGATCAGATCTGGTTGTGGGGATTTTTACTTTCTGATGGATTGCCAGCACCCCGCCCCCACCTCCAGACACAAACATTCATGTTCACACACTCATCATGGGGATTAGGATTTGTAATTTATTCTTCTCCCATTTTGCCTTGTTTGAGCAAATGGCATAAATGCTAACACTATCATGTCAAGATCCCAGCCTTAAAATTTTACAGCAGGGACCACAAATTCAAATAATTGCATAGACCAGGCAAATAACCAGGGACAAGAGTAAACTCTGGGGGAGCTCGTGACCAATCTAAAAAAAAGCAGCCACAACTTGGCTGATTTCTGATATGCAATAATACAGAACGAGCCTTCTGAGATTTTTCTGATCTTTCTTTCTTTCTTTCTTTCTTTCTTTCTTTCTTTTTTAATGTATTTGGTACAGGGTCTCACTACATAGCTTGGATTTATAGTGATTCTCCTGTTTTTAGCCTCCTCAGCACTGGGATTACAGGCATGCACCACACCTGCCCTGCCCTGTCTCAGTGGCCAGTTCAAGGAGCCTGTGGGCGGGGCCTGTGAGGCCTGTAGTGATTTTTCAAAAGGAAGAAAATCTGAATTTTGTTTTAAATGATTGTTCCAGATTTTTAAAACAAAAATACATCTTCAGGGCTGAGGATGCAGGTCAGCCTGTTCTAGGTTCAATCCCAAAAGGGTTTTTTTAAAAAATCTACCTCCCACAGACATGATGTCCTAAATATTGAGCTGTTAAAGTAATATTAATATACAGATCAACATGTAAATAAAAAAATTTTTAAAATATCTATTTTCTAAATAAACTATCACGACTTAATACAGGTAGTAGCAAAAATAATCCACCGGGTCATTCCAATGGGCATACACCACTTCTTGATCTGAGGAAATTAAAGCTTTTGACACAGTCACCACTAGATTGTTATACCTGTAAGGGTCATGATTTGACACAGGAAATATCAAAGACTTCCAATAACTTCTCCACTATATTAATAATAATTAAATGAATTAAGTAGAGATTTTTTTCTTACCATTAACAATATCATTGATATTGTTAATAATGTTGAATCCTCTATTTATGAATAGCAACTACACTTTATGACCTTATAACTAAGACTTTAAGGTATTAAGTCACAAAAGTCATTTATGAAAATATCTTTTAACCAATTGGTTTAATTTACAACTTCTTATTCACTCTCTATCTATGGATCTTCACAAAACAGTAGCCCAAAACTGAGGGTATGGTATGTAGGACAGCACGTGCAAGGACATGATTCAATACCCAGCACTGAAACCCCCCCCAAAAAGTTGAAAAACTTGAAAAGTTCACTAATTTTTCACCTTTATCATCACATAAATTTTCATATTAGAAAACTTAATCTTTTTTTCTTGGGATGGATGCCTCATTTTCCTTCAAACAGTATACCTATTTAAAAAAAAAAACAACCTACCTTCCACTTTTGTTCAAACTTTCTTTGCATATGTCCCACTACTTTGTAGTTAACTGAAATACTGCCAAGTGTAACAAATATTTATTTTGTAAAGCTAACATAATGATATGCCCATTAAGGTATCATTTATTAGCACTTGGAAAGGGAATGTCACAAGTTCAAGCCTAGGCTGGGCAACTTCACAATATACGTAGCAAGACCCTGTCTCAAAAAAGGACTAAGTAAAAAAGCCTGGGCTAGAGCTCTGTGTGATGGGCCTGGGTTCAGTGTAACTCAGTTGTGACCATAACAAAAAGCCTCTTATCAGTGGTACTAATATCTCACAACAATTAGTAATAATCAATGATATTTAGATTTACAGTATTAATCAATTTTTAACATTTCTTTCAATTACTGTACTATTTGCCATGGATTTCAGTGTGTTAATCATTAGTATGGCGCGGGGCCAAACAGCAGTTACGGCCCACATGTTTAGTTAAGGGGCTGCCAGCTAAAACTCCAAATAGGGGCTGGTGAGATGGCTCAGTGGTCTAAAGCACCTACTTAGAACAAGCTTAGCAAAGAACAGGGACCGCGGTTCAATCCCCCAGCACCACATGCCAGCCAGCCCCGCCCCCTTGTGGGCTGAGCTGGCCGCGCGCGCGCGCGCGCGCACACACACACACACACACACACACACATAAATAAATAAAATTAAAAAAAAAAAAAACTCCAAATAAGATTATCAGTGTGTCCTAGAAGTGAAGGTAGAGGTGTGGCATTCAGTTACATCCCAAGAAAAACAATCATGGCCGCCTCCTTTTTTTATTTTGGCAGGGGATGGATATCACACTGGGCCATTTTATTGCTGAACTTACCTGAGCGCCCCACTGTAGTTAAGTGGGAGGGAAGGACAGCAATACCTAATTTAACATTGCAAAAAAAAAAGCATTTTGCATCATCGAACCTCCAACGTCTTGTTCAGGTTAAGATTTAGCTCCAAGAAACTGGCTTGCCTAACGCCCTAGCAGTCTACTTCTCTTAGATGCGTCACCACACGCTTCTCTGTGGGTACAGAGCTCGGCTTGACAGCAGTGTCTGACGCCCCACTCTGGCGTCCGGCACGTCATCCTCTTTGCTGCAGGCCGACAGAACCCTCCTCGTATACAGCAAGACAGTCACATCTCCATGGCCAGTCTGCAGGGGCCTCCTCCAGCTAAAACACCACTCTCGTTTCTCCTCGTTAGAGTCGGCCAGGCTTGGCACAGGAGCTACTCCTCCAAGAGGCCTTCCGGTATCCCCCGCCGGCCAGACTGCGTCCTGAGCAGCCCCAGCCCTCTGCTCACTACGGTGTCTTCACAAGCCCACTCGTCCTCGGCGGCAGGGACCCCCTCATCCAAGTCAAGCCCACAGGCACAAGATGATCGCCTGGACAAACCAGCGTGTTCCGTCGGATCCCCCAACCTCGCCTTACTCAAGAGTGACCGAATCTCCCTACACAAGGGATCTTTGAACCTATTCAGTAGCTTCAAAGAGTTAAGAAATTGACAGGACTTCCTTCCACTCTGTTCAGCACCAGCCCGACTCCAGAGGCGCGACACGCCCCCCGCCCCCACCCGGGTCGTCCAGTCCGCGCAGCCGCACGCTCGCGGTCCCAGCATGCCCCGCGCCCTCTTCTAAGCCGGCCCCCGGAATTCCCGCTGGATGCCGGGAGTTGTAGTCTAAGCTGAAGGCTTCGCGGTGGTCGGCCGGCGCGCGTGGCAGGAAGCGGAAGCGGACCTCGGCCCGCCCCCGGTCCCGCCCCGCGGCCCGCCGCTCCCCACCGGGCTAGCACTGACGTGTCTCTCGGCGAAGGTGCCGCGCTCCGGAGTGGGCTCCGTCTCCTCACTCGGAGCGGAGTGAAGTCGACGCGTGACTCGGAGCTCGAGCAGCCGCCGCCATGGCGAGTGAGTCCTTTGGGGGCGGCCCTGGTACTGCCGGGACGCTTCAAGCCCCCCTCCGCTCTCCTGGACGGTGGGGCACGCACCCCCTAGGCCCGCCCGGTTCTCCGTGTGCGCGGCCTGCATCCCCGGCCCTCAGAGCTCCTCGCGCTCCCCAAGCCCGGTCTGCGCCGCTGCGTCCAGGGCACGAGGCGTCCCTGGTTGGCGCGGCAGGTCTCCCTGTGTCCTAACTCCTCGTCTTTTGTTTCTTTCATCAAAGTCAAATTTCTGGAAGTCATCAAGCCCTTCTGTGTCATCCTGCCGGAAATTCAGAAGCCAGAGCGGAAGGTAAGTTCCCTAAATCGCCATCAGAGGAGGCTTGGTGAAACTGGGCGCTGAAGTTTACAGTACAATTAAAGATGGCTTCGGCTCGCCAAGTGGAAACTCTCCCTCTTCCCCTGGAGTGTGGAGAGGTGTGCGCTGTCGCACCCCGGAGCGCTGTGGAGAGGCGGTCTGTTTGTGTGGGGAACCCTTCCCCCGCTCCTGAAATCATCATGCTGTATTTGGAGCAGCTTTGGTGGCTGTTGCTCAGTGAACAAAGCCTCAGGTTTGCCCAGAGTGGATGAATAAGGCCTCATTTAGCATCCTCAGATTGAGTTACTCTCCTCTGTTTGAGCAGATTGTAGAGGGGTTTTTTTTTCCCCTTGTAGGAAGTGTCCTTTGTACCCAGCTGCTAAAGGGAAGAACAATCAGTTTAGACTAAATTCGTACGTTTAATGTAGGCTGTCACAAGTGCTGAGACTATGAACATTTTGTGAAGTGTGACACTGTTCAAAATAGGTGCAGTTAAAAAATAAAGAAAGAAATGAAGCAGTTGTGATGAATCTTAACAGAATTTCCATGGCTGCACAGCCAAAGCTCAAAACTGAGTGTTGCCAGTGTAAGTGCACTTGTCTGACAAGGACATTTTCATTAGGTATTAAATAGAAAGATATTGTGTCTCTGCATTCTTTTCAGACGACTGTTCTCGTGGTCACGTATGTTTATGTGTATCCACATATGTGGCTATCTGGGTACTTGAAGTCTACTTTTGTTCTTTTACATAAAAGACATAGTTTTATGTAAATACTTTCCATAGAAGCTGCCTTTCATGGACTGAATGATAAAGCTGCCCCCTCTATGCAGATGTCTTGGGACAAGTATTGCTCTGAAGCCTGGCAGGCCTCCCACCCTTTATACTGCGTCCTAAGCCATGTGACCATGGCAAGGGAAATACATGTGCAAGCAACACATAAACTTTGGAAGAGGTGATGTCTGGTAGTTTGGAGAGAAGTTTCCTGAGGGTATGGATAGGAATTCTGCTAACAAGAGTATATATTTTGTAGTTGCAAAGAAGAGAGGACTATTCAATGCTTGGGCAAAAGTGGTTAAATGTAGTTCATATTGATAGAACGTAAAAGAGTAAGTAGATTCGGAGCAATAGGTAGAAGACCTGACAAATTATAAGATCACTGTGGTAGTAAAGGAGAAACCTAAAGTATGGGTTAGAGGCTTTTGCACTGGAGGGTGTGCTGTGGGATGGAGCAAAGATGCATTAGGAGCTATTTAAGAGGTGAAGGAGGAGACCGGGGAGATAGCTCAGTAGAATAAGGGCCTGAGTTCAATCCCTGGTTCCGCAAAAAAAAAAAAGAGGTGAAGGAGATAAGACTTAAATAGCTTTTAAAATTTTTAATATTAGATTTGCTTGTGCTACAAGAGATGTGGTCATTTTAAAAATGAATCTTGAAAAAAAAATCCACCTTTCTCTTTTCTCGTGGGGATTAATTTCATCACAAGATTGTCACATCACTGTTTAGCCTGAAAGCTTTCCTTTGGCCAAGTTCAACTTTCTTTGTTTTTGTTTTGTTTTGCGAAACTGGGGATTGAACTCAGGCCCTTGCGCTTGCCAGGGAAGCACTTATTCCACTGAGCCATCTCCCCAGCCCCCAACTTTCTTGATATGGTGGGATGACAAGTAGGAAGGGGAATGTTCTCAAGGCACAGAAGAGTTCTGTGGGGCCGGGGAGATGGCTCAGTGGAATAAGTGCTTCCCTGGCAAGCACAAGGGCCTTAGTTCAATCCCCAGTTCCACCAAAAAAAAAAAGAGTTCTGTGAATCCCCAGCTTCGTGTGGAGTGTCTTTGGCCCTGAGTTACACCCCCTTGGCACTGTGTGTCATGTCTTTTTCCTGACCTGTGTTGTGGAAGTAGAGGGCTTAACAACAGTTCTGACCAAGGGCTCAAACACATTTTTCCTCTACAGTTTGGGCCTTTGATACTGTCACTCATTAGGTAATTTAACCTCCAACCCTCAGTCTGTGTAATAACTCATATATTTGCTAAGCCCACCATATCCATTCTGGTGGTAAACAGCCAGTACTGTACTAGGGAAGATAATGTTAGAGGAAGACCCAGAATAGTTTCCACTCTACTAATTAGTGACAGAGGCCTTGGGCAGGAAGGATCTAAACTTTTCTAATGATACTTGGTAGTCATCTATAAAATGATTCTGTCACCTGTGACTTAGAAGATTGTGAACATTCTTGAAGTTAAACAAATGTTACTAGTATGGGTTAAACATGCAACTCTTCCTGTGCCTTCCCCGCATTATTGGTTACTACATGATTTTATCCTGGTTCATAAAAATACATTATTGAACAATCTCAGATTCCAGATTAATTGGCTGTAGAACAACAAAATTTTACTTCCAGACTCTGATCAAATAAAAAGTGTTTGCTTAGATGTTGCCAAGGCTTATCTGTTTTACAAAAGTCACTTTCTGTTGTGATGTTCTTGATCTTTGGTCCAAACTGTTGTTAAGGCATAAGGCTTACTTCAACTGTAAGATGTGGGACAGAGTACTTAGTCTGTCCAAGAGCCAGTTTTCTCGGTGTCATAAAAAGATGAAGACACTGTTGTGTGGGAGGATTAACGAAGATCTTTGCCTTCTACATGGGCAGCATACCATATCTGTTCTTGGGTTTAGTGCTATGTTTGATACATGGTTCTCCTTCTCTAGTGAAGAGAGAAAAGGGTTCAATATGAATCCATTTTTATTAATTTGGTTGTAATACTCATGTTTGCTTTCTTTCTACAGATTCAGTTTAAAGAGAAAGTGCTATGGACAGCCATTACCCTCTTTATCTTCTTAGTATGCTGCCAGGTAAAAAGCCCAGGGTTCGGGTATTGGTGTTGTGATGGGAGCAGAAGTAGCGGGAAATGAGGTGCCAACTTCTCTTTGCTTGTTTCCAGATTCCTCTGTTTGGTATCATGTCTTCAGACTCAGCTGATCCTTTCTACTGGATGAGAGTGATTCTAGCCTCTAACAGGGGTAATATTCTCACTCACTCCGCTTCTTTCCTATGTACTGTGAGTCGAGGAGACTCATTTTAATTATAGGCTGTGGCTTTCTGTGGAGCTCCAGGTATTTGGGAAGAGGGAAGAATGTTAGCATGCCCCATTGCATGGCCTAATTAAATGCTACATTCAGCACTGAAGGATACCATTGTGTTTGCAGCTGGGTGTAAATATAGTACAAAACCTGTAATAACAAGATAAGTCTGTTTTGTGGAGAATTTTATAAAAATGGGAAAACTAGAATACCTTGTGAATACCTGAAATGATGGCATGTCCATTGATAACATCCTTTAGAATGCGTAACTTGTTTCTCGGCTACATCTTTTCCATATCTATAGATTATGTGACTGTATCAAAAAAAAAAATCCGCACCAGTGTTTTGTGTATTCTTAGTGGTCCCCTGCAGGGTGCAGGCAGGATTTTTGAATGTATATGTTGATACTGACTTGATTAATTCATTTTTAAAATATAGCTCAAATTAAGTTCCAAATCAGTCAGAAGAGTATAGCTCATTTTAGCATAATGGGAAGTAGAGGCTTGTTCACAAATAGATACCACTGCACCAGACCCCTCTGCAGACTCTGGAAATGATTTGAATGTTGTCCTTGTTTTATTCACTGATGAAGAAATGAACCTTTCTTATCTCTGTGAGACCAGAATGAATCTGTTGGTGGTGAGTTTAAATGCAGCAGTATGTTTAGATAATCATGTGACTTCCTAAACAGAGTAAGATGTTGCCGGGCAGGCTGAATAGAATAAATTAAATTATACTCTAATCACTGATATTTGGGAATTATTCTATAACTTAAATGTTGCTAGCCAGTTGAAACATGCTGCATTTGTGTAAGGGGCGCTCATTCAGTTTGGCTCATCTATTGTGATACTCAGTGTTTCACTTTTCCAAGCTAATGCTGTCTCACTTTCCCCTTCCTCCAGGCACACTGATGGAGCTGGGGATCTCTCCCATCGTCACCTCTGGCCTAATCATGCAGCTCTTGGCTGGGGCCAAGATCATTGAAGTTGGCGACACCCCAAAAGATCGAGCTCTCTTTAATGGTGCCCAAAAGTGTAAGGAAGCTTGTATATCCTGTTCTGATGTCTGTAGTTGAGAATTTGAATTTGCTCTAAAGTTGGGGCATTAAAACAGTTGGGCTTTGTACTGTGGAATCTCCTTAGCCAGACATGTTACAAGTGCTCTTGGCCGGTGATAGTGAGAGGTACCTGGCCTAGGCAGTGGTGGACAAGGCAGGGCAGGGGAGAGAAGGTCCCTGAGGCCACAAGACAGAGTGAAAGGAGCAGGTTTGGAAGTCACTGTCCCCTGCCCATAATTTCCTTACCATGTAGAAGAAGGCAGCATCTGCTCAGGACTTCTGTAATAATTCAATTAAATGCTCTCTCTCAGGGTACCCAACACTTAGTAGACACTTGGCAAGTGTTGTAAGAACTTAACTGAGGGGAACAGCAATCCTCTCAGTACAGCTCTGCCACCTACCAGCTAGCTCTGTGCTGTGGAAGAAAGTCATAGCAAATGACATCTGCGAAGGTTCAGCTTCACCAGTAACAGTGAAGTTACTGTTGTGTAATCGTAGTGCAATGCTAGGTATTAATGGTAACAGTGGCCAGTCACCAGAGTTAACTGTCTTTAGTCTCTCTGAGCTAAAAAATATTAACTAGGAAATGATATTTCCAGTTTTGTACTCAGCCATCTTTTCTTTCACACCTCTATTTTTTTCTGATCTTAAATTAGTAGGTTGAGCTGGCCAAATAGCTCAGCAGATTAAAGTGCCTGCAAGCAGGCTCACGGGGCAGGGGTTTGATCCCCAGGCCTGCTGTTCCAGCCCCACCCCCAGGGCGCACTGAGATGGCAATTGAGACTGAACGTGGTGGCGCACACCTGTAATCCCAGCACTTGGGAGGTTGTAAACAGGAGAATCACTGAGTCTGATCTAGTAATAAGACCCTGAACACCCTGTAGACCCTTCCCTAAAAAAAAAAAAAAAATTAGTAGGTTAATATTTTAGAAAGACATTTAACCTAAATTTATCAGTTTGAGACACAAGTTAAGATTTTAGAATGTATGTATGGAATGTGTTTCAAAAGCAAAAATTAACAACTGGGATGAGGCAAAGGAGAAAAGGAAAGAAAATATATCACAGGATAGCTAAGATAATTGTACTACTGATTTCTATTGGTTTATTGAAAGGAACAGTTTATACTTAATGTTTTTTTAATTTTTGACAAATTTTGTGTGCTTATTTCTGGTAATCTGAACAGCTACTTTGAATATAACAATATGCAATGTAACAGCCATAACTGATTTCCTATCTTGTTTTGAAATTCTGTATCATTTTAATTTTTATTCTCTTTTTAAAAAATACAGGGCCAGGCAGATAGCTCAATGGCATAAGTGCCTACCTGGCAAATGCAAGGTCCTGAGTTTGATCCCCAATACCAAAAAAATAATAATAAAATTTAAAAATACTGTAAAAGCAAAAACTGTCAGATTTGGGTTTATTTGTTTTGAGTCAAGGTCTTGCTGTATACCCTAGGCTGGCCTTGAACTCACAGCAATTCTGCCTCAGCCTCCTTAATGCTGGGATTAAAGGTGTCTGACACCACACCCAGCTCCCCCAAGGTAACTGTTTTTTCCTTTGGTCTTGATCATTTTTTGTGGATTTTTTTGCCTTTAGAATTTAGTGTTGGGGCTTTGCCTAACAGCTCAGTTGTATAAAGTGCCGCTTGGGCAAATGCAGTCAGGCGCATAGGACCACAGTTCGATTCCCAACTCCAGAAACTGCACCAGACCTGCCCTTAAGGCAGCCTGAAGTAGCCAAAAATAAAAATAAAAAACCCATCTCAAATTTTTAGGGGCTGGGGAGGTAGCTTAGTAGAATAAGCATTTGCCTGGAAAGTGCAAGGGCCTGAGTTCAATCCCCGGTTCTGCCAAAAAAAATCCCAACAAAAAACAGAATTTAGTGTTGTTGGGCTCGGGGTGTATTTCAATGGTACTGCACTCGCCTAGAGTGTACAAGGCCCTGGGTTCCAGCTGTAGCACTGCAAAAAAGGGAAAAACAACTTAGGGCTACTAAAGACTTTTAAAAAGTCAAATAGGGACTTTTGATGGACACTCAGGAGGATTTTCAGTTCCCACAACAAACTAAATTGAAGTTGACTCCCAAATTTAGAGACCCATCGAGTATTGAGAACCATTAAGTGTGTCAGTTCCATTGTGCTTAAGAGTGAAATATAATGAGATACAAGAAACAGTCCACACAAAGCCCTGTCACCGTGCTTGGGAGCTGAAGAAATGAGGCCAGTAACCAGACCTTGCAGAGGTGTGAGAAAAATTTAAGACAGGGGTCATTTTATTCTTAAGAGTTCTGAACTCAGGTCTAGATGGTCAGCATCGCAGGGTGACCCACATGTAGCTCAGCATCAGAGAATCTAGATCCCAGGTGACCTGACAGTGCATTTTCATGCCATGGCTGGTGATATAGAATTCAGTAGAATGTGCCATATGATTCACTTTTAAGAGCAAGATTAGCCCACTGTATCTCCTTTACTCTTCCTGACTGAAAGTACTGTGACTCCAGGAGGGGCTCCCAAGGGCATCCTGAGTGTAGCGCTGTGATTCCCCTGTTTAGCGTTTTCTCAGGCTTCCTGTGGGCAACATCAGGATTGGCTGTTGTTCTCCTCAGTGTTAGGCATGGAGAAGGCATTCATCAAGGGATTCCTCTGCTAGTGTTCTGCTGAGTGTTCTCTTTGATAGGCTACTCTGGGGACACAGTCTTCTTTTGCTTTCTAGTATTTGGCATGATCATCACCATTGGCCAGTCCATCGTGTATGTGATGACAGGGATGTATGGAGACCCCTCTGAGATGGGCGCTGGCATCTGCCTACTCATCACCATCCAGGTAGTGTGCTAGTGCCCTTCATCCCTGGGTCGAGCCTCAGCTGTGTGTGGGAGGAGGCCCAGGCCCTTAGCTTTGCCCTTCTGAATTCACCAGACTTCTGAAGACAGGTGCTGACTTAGCCTCACCATTTATATTAGAAAAACCCAATTAGGGAAGAAAGAAGGATCCAGGTCCACAGGGAGCAGTAACACATAGTCAGTTTGGGTTTTTTTATTTTGTTTCTTATTTTCAACAGCTCTTTGTTGCTGGTTTAATTGTCCTACTTTTGGATGAACTCCTGCAAAAAGGGTATGGCCTGGGCTCTGGCATCTCCCTCTTCATTGCCACCAACATCTGTGAGACCATCGTCTGGAAGGCCTTCAGTCCCACCACTGTCAACACTGGCCGAGGTAAGGGCATGTGCCTTGTGGAAAGAGGGCTATTAGGCATGCCTGATTCCTGTGTGCCTCTGCAGAGATTTTCAGTATAGATAGCTGAGGTTCCCAATGATACCAATTCTACATTTTTTTCATGTAATAGTCTCTGGCTCTCTAGCTTGCCAGAATACGTAGTCCTCCCTCATCTTTGTTAGCGTACATGAACCTCCATCACAACAGTCATGTAGCAACATTTATCTTAACCAGTTGTCTTCTGTTGGGGCATCTAAGTCATTTCCATTTTTAATGTCATTGACATTGAAACAATAAACGTCCTTGTTTGGCAGGTGCTCTCAGTGAGTAATTTTCGAAAATGAAATTACTAAAGAAAACAGAGCACTTGGTCATGCAAAGGGTAGCTTTGTGAAAGAGGCTTCAACTTGGGGTTCACCAGCCAGATCCATATCCTGCTTGTGCCTTTCAGTTGTCCATCTGTGACTAGGCAAATTCTCCTACCATGGAAACATTTATAGGAAAAAATGAGAAAGAACATGACATGTGATTCTTGGCTCATGGGAGATGTGTGTCAAATGCTACTGGGCTTTATTGGATCTCTCGTACAGTGAGACATTTGTTACAGAAGTGAGGCCCAGCTGCTTGAGGCACAAGCAGTCTGAGCCACAGACTGAGGGTGGGTGCTCGGACTCCCTGGGGTTTCCAGGGCTTCATCTGGCCCTTTCCAGCAAGAGTTCAGCATACTCTGTGTGAAGCCCTAGTTAAAACTGGCATCATCCTTCCCCATAGCTGGTAGGCTCCAACCTAGCTAGGAGAGCAGCTAACTCAGAAGAGAAATAGAAATGAAAGATTGAAAAGTAATCTGTTCTGTGCTCCTGTGGCTCTAGGCGTGAGTGCCATGAGTGTCATGTCTAGTTCTTTCTTTCTTTTGGTCTGGGCCACTCAGAAGCCAAGAGGTAAACTGAGTTTCTTGTTCTTTCCCTCACCCCTCCTCTGCCTTCTTCCCCTTCCCAACAGGCATGGAGTTTGAAGGCGCCATCATTGCACTCTTCCACCTGTTGGCAACACGCACAGACAAAGTGCGAGCCCTGCGAGAGGCCTTCTACCGCCAGAACCTCCCCAACCTCATGAACTTGATTGCCACCATCTTTGTCTTTGCTGTGGTCATTTACTTCCAGGTGCGTTCCTCCCAGCTCTTGTAGCTTCTTGCTCTCTTCACTGTGGTAGGGCCCTGCCTCTTGAGACTTCTTGGGTTTAAAGTTACACAGTGTTTAACCTGCTTTGCAATAAGAGAACCTAACTGTTAGTTAGGCCTTTCTGTAATTGGATTGATTTTTTTTTCTCTTTTCTTTCCTTTTTGAGGTAAGGCCTCCCTGTGTAGCCTGGCTGGTCTGTAAGTCTCCTACCTCAAACCTTCCAAGTGCTGGATTACAGCGATCTGTGCCTCACCCAGCCTATTAAGAATTTATTCTAAATCCTTCATATTTATTCTAAGCCTTGCTCTAGGCCTGGGAAGTTTGTAAAGTAAGGGTTTTAGAGAGAGGGGTTTTATTTGTAGAAAATTTAGCTTTTCTGTTGATAAAAGCATTGTAAAGGCTGGGTGTGGTGGCACCACCTATATATAATACCACTGCTGGGGAGCCTGAGGCATTAGATCTCAAGTATGGTCCAGTATGGACTGCATAGTGAAACCTTGTCTCAAAATGAAAAGTCAAAAGTGGGCCAGAGATACAGCTCAGTGATGTAAGCGACTTCCTGGAAGGTGCAAGGTTACAAGTTTAATTCCCGGTACCCCCCCCCCCCAAAAAAAAAAAAAAAACCTAAAAGGACCATCCTAAGTACAGCCACCAGTCCTTGTAACAGCATAGGACTGACCAAACCTGGAGACCCGCTTTGGGACTTGGGTTTAAATCTTTCCATGCTTTTCTGTTAGTGCCACATAAGGTGACTTACCACATGGGTAGATTTCCGTTTCTGTGAGACATAGGATTTTTCCACTGTTGTGCTTGGTCCTGCTAGGCCACTGCACAGGGCCCAGGTACAGCAGAGGGCAAGGAAGCCTGGCTACCTTTGGGTATGTCAGAGCTGACTAGGCATTAGGCACTGTGTTCTCTTGCTTCTTAGGGCTTCCGGGTGGACCTGCCCATCAAATCTGCGCGCTACCGAGGCCAGTACAACACCTACCCGATCAAGCTCTTCTACACCTCCAACATCCCCATCATCCTGCAGTCTGCCCTGGTGTCCAATCTCTACGTCATCTCACAGATGCTATCAGCACGCTTCAGTGGCAACCTGCTCGTCAGCCTGCTGGGCACCTGGTCTGTAAGTGCGGTAGAGTAGGTGGCCGTCCTCTGTGGTGGTGTGCATTGTATGTCCTGCTCAGGACCAGTTGTGTCACCAGAGGTCATCTTTCACAAATACAGAGCATGAAGTTCTCTTTTCCCAAAGAAAGCTGTCCTGTGGGCTCCTAAGTGAAACTGTTCTTCCTCTACTCAGAACTCTGGGTCTTGTGCTAAGGTATGGAGAGACAGTGTTCTCAGGCTTTCTGTTTCTTTCACCCAGGACACATCCTCTGGAGGCCCAGCACGTGCTTACCCAGTTGGTGGCCTGTGCTACTACCTGTCCCCTCCAGAGTCGTTTGGCTCTGTGCTGGAGGACCCAGTCCATGCAGTGGTATACATCGTGTTCATGCTAGGCTCCTGCGCCTTCTTCTCCAAAACCTGGATCGAGGTGTCGGGCTCCTCTGCCAAAGACGTAAGTAGCAGCTAGCGCTGTAAGATAAGCTGTCCCACAGGGCTTTTCTTTTTTATTTATTTATTTTTTTAATGTATTTAGTACAGGGTCTATAGGGTCTCACTATACAGATCAGACTCATAGTGATCCTCCTGTTTTTAGTCTCCCAAGTGCTGGGATTACAGGTGCACACCACCATGCCCATTCTCAATTGCCACCTCAGTGCACCCCGGGGGCAGGGCCAGCACAGCACACTGGGGATTGAGCTCCAGTCCCTGCATCTGCCTAAGTGGATGCATTAATCCACTGAGCTCTCTGGCCAGCCCTTCCCATGGGGGTATTGATGGCATCTCTTCCCAACTGGAGTTTGCAGTGCCTGCAATTGTGTCCCTGATAGCAAGCACTGGGTCTCTGAAAGGAAAGGTTTAGTTTCATCCACAAGTCCTTGCACCAGTTGTGAAGTTTTTTGTGTAAATATTGTTCGTGCTGCAGTGGAACAGTGAAATGTCTGCTTCTCCTTAGCATCCAGTTTAAAATTGGAGCCAAGCTTCTAGGTGCATGCCTGTCACCCCAGCACTGAGAGGCTGAGGCA